TCGTGACCGGTCATAAGTACCATTCTTACAATTACAATTACTTAAAGCTAACTTATTTGCTAAATTAAATTCGTAATCCCAATAAATTTTTGTTTCGCGCGCAATCGAGCTTCGGTCGCATTTTCTCGCGCTAGGGCGACTCGGTCGCGGCGAATCCAACCAATGGACAACAATTATCTCTAGCGCTCAATTTAAATTTTCTTTTAAAAATTTTTAAATTCAAAAAAATTAAAATTATCAACAAAAAAAAAAACGTCTTAACAGGTGGCGCTAAAAGCGGCCTGTTACAAAGTTCTAAAATTAACAAAAACAACCGTATATAACAAAGTATAGATAAAAATTTTTTTCAACTTTTTATTGTACTTTTAAAAAATACGTGTTACAAAACTTGCAGCGGCTGCTTCGTTTGTCTATTAAAAAACTAAAATAACTTTTAAACTATTAGAGATACGAAAATAAACATTCCAGTCGATTCTATAAATAGTTAAACGATCTTTAAAATGAATTATTCAAAAAAATTTTAGTTATTACTAATTTATTGTTACGTGCATTTGTTTATAAAAACTTATATTTTTTTCGATGTTTTTCGAACTTTCGTGACTCCTAACTTTTTAAATAATGCGATTACGGTTACAGACCTCCAAGACTATTCTGTCAAGTAATAAAATATATAAACGTTGTAGTTATTTATTTATAAATCATGTCATTTTTTAATTAATTATTGGCATTTTTTTCTAAATTTTTTTTCATTTCATAAAAAATTAATGTCGATTACTATCTATTCATTTATCACAAGCAAAAATTTATACAAGCAATGTTAGGATATAATTGTATTGTTAAAAAAACTTTTGATTTTGATTAATAACATAATTTTATTTGCATGAATTACAAAAATAATAATAAAAGTAATATTAATGATAATCAAAATTTTAAAAATAGTATTTATATGGAGTTAAATACATCGTTTTCTTCGTTGTTTTTTGGGGAGAAAAAAATGCCCATAATTAATTAAAAAATGAAATGATTTATAAATAAATAACTACAACATTTATATATTTTATTACTTGACAGAATAGTCTTGAATCATTCAAATAATTTATAATTCGATTATGGTTACATCAAAATATAAAAAAATCACCCTTTACAAAATTTGGAGTTAGACAAATTACTAATTAGACCGTCGATATAAGTTTTTATAAACAAATGTGCGTAACAATAAATTAGTAATAACTAAAACTTTTTTGAATAATTCATTTAAAAGATCGTTTAACTATTTATAAAATCGGATGGAATGTTTGTTTTCGTATCTCTAATAGTTTAAAAGTTATTCTAGTTTTTTAGTAGATAAACGAAGCAGCCGCTGCAACTTTTGTAACACGTGTTTTTTAAAAGTACAATAAAAAATTGAAAAAAATTTTTTTCTATACTTTGTTATATATGGTTGTTTTTGTTAATTTTAGAAGTTTTAGAAAAAAAATAAAAAAAAGTTGAAAATTTGTTTATAACAAATTGGTAAGTTAATAAACAATAGAATTGTTGATAAAAAAAAATTTTTTTTGTCACTTTATAGAGGACTGTCAATTATGATTTTTAGAAAAAAAATAATTTCTTAACTAATTATTTAACCAATAGAAATATAAAAAAAAATGATTATAAACAATTAAAAATTGTTATTAAGGAAAATTTTTTTTTTTAAATCATAATATTTATAATGTAATAAAGTTGTAAAAAAAAATTTTTTAAAAATATTGATTTAATCAATTTGTTTATAAAAAATTTATCAACAAATGGCGAGAAAAATTTTTTTTGTAAATTAATTAATATCTTGTATTAATAAAAAAACGATAATATGATGATTTATGAAAAAAAAATTTTTTTTTAACAACTACTTGGATTTTTAAGTTTTTGTTCAAGTAAAAAAATTGTTATAATCAAAGTATCAATATTTTTTTAACTTTTATGCCACGATCTCGTTAAGTATGTATGTAAGAATGGCTCTACGAAGCGAAAATTTTTTACGACCATTATTTAAACATTTTTTTTCACTTACAATTAAGACGGTAGTTCGAGAAAATTTCGTTAGTTAACAATTGTTTAACTCGTTGAAAAATTAACTTTAAGTAAAATTTCCAACGGGAATAAATTATTTATAGTGTTCAGAAAACACCACAATTTTTTCAAAATAAAAAAAAAATATTTAATACCTTAAATAAATTAATTAATGCGCCGTACTCGCTTTTGACGCCACGCGCGCATCCGAAAATGTCACGCGCAGACCTATTTTCAGCGTTAAATTAAAATTATAAATAATGGAGATAGAGTTCCGGGAGTCAAGAGTTTTTTATTGGAAATTTCCTCCTCTTTCAGAATCTTTTCTTTAAATTTCTTAAATATTAATAGTTTATGAAATATTGGCAAAAAACGAAATGCCATTTTTTTTCATCTTTAATTGTTTATAACTTTTGCAATTTTTTATGTGCTGATACACGCTTTTGGCACATTTTTCTAGACGTCATTCCGGATCCAATGAGCTATCGCACGTAATTTTAAGGGCAGTATCTCTATTTTGTACCATTTTCAACTTGTCGGCTAGACAATCAATAGTTTTTCAAATTTCTTTCTTCGTGTCGATTATTATTAATTTTTGTAAGAAAGCCACGGAAATGCTTTAACGACTGCACATTGAAAGTAGTAATTAATATTAGTTGGAAAAATCTCATAGATGAAAAGTACAGTCTGATTCAATGGAATTTGAAATCAGTGTAATTAAAAACAATGTCAATGCTTAGAATTCTATCCGAAGGACATATTTATGTTCATACAAAACAATTGAATTGTTGATATTTTTTCATTCATTCTTGTAGCAATAAATAAGCACTTAATTATTGTAATTCAAATAATAACCGGTTTCATGTCAATTGACTTGTTTGTGGTGTTCAAAGCTGTCAATGTGTCAGAGGTCAGCATTGTTGGGATTATAAAAATATTTAAACAATTCAATTGTTGATATTTCTTCGTTTATACTAGTAGCACTAAATGAGCACTTAATTATTGTGATATAAATAATAAGCTGTTCCATGTTAATTGAATTGTTTGTGGTGTTCAACGATGTCAATTTGTCAGGTCAGTATTGTTGGGATTATAAAAATATTTAAACAATTTTATTATTAATGTTTTATTGTTCCTATGTGTAGCACTTAATGAGCACTAATTGCTAATGTCATTGTTGAGAATATGAGCATAGATCACCTATCATAATTGACCGTTACAATGATAGCTTTATCAAAAGCTACCATTTAATAGATTTTCTTCTTATTCTAAACAGCATTAAATTCGCGATTTCAGCACTAAATTTGCACTAAATAAGCACTAAATTTTGAGCAAAAAATTTTCAAATTCCGCCGATTTGACACTGTCAGCTTTTTGGACGTATTAAATTGGGATGCCAGGCTACAATTAAACTGTACGTTACAAGAGATCGTCAGAAATTGAGAATATATGAAGTAAATCTCAATCATCAGAACCACGATGGTTCAGAGGTATGGTAAAAATTTTAACGTTGTCTCTATAATTTCGCAAATGATAACATATAATAAATAAATTGAGTCCATAATAATCTAAAAAAATGTTTTTCATCAACGTGAATATTAATTAAAAAAATTTTATATGTATAGATGTACAAAAAATTGATAATTTTTCTTTAGTTTTATATGCACTTAGATCACATTGTACATAAGTAGATGGTATAGATATTTTATAATTCTGATCTCCGTACATTTCAATGCTTGTTTCTTATATACACGTTAATGAAGTACAAAAATTATTCTTATTACATTCTTTCTCATCATTCACAACTTTTGTTATTTATTTAGATTTTTTTTTCTCATCTTCCCGAAAACCGAAAATTATCTCCAAAGACGACTAAAGAAGTTGCAGATCAATTAAAACTAAAACCGAATAAAAAATTTCTTCAAGATAAAATAATTAGAGAAACTGGAAAATTTCCAACAATCAAAGATTTACAAAATTTAAATGCAAATAAAATAAACCGTAATCATAACGGCAATGATTTGAAAGAAGCTAAAAAACTTTTGGAACAAAAAGGTATTTACTTATCGATCATCCATATAATTTTTATTATTCATAAAGTAAATTAACTAAAAAAATTAATGAACACAGCTACTTGTGTAGTAAAGTATTACTTTTCATTCGAAATTATTGTTAACAAAAACAATTTTAATGGGTTTCTGAAAATTTAATTTTAGAATATGCTAATATGAGTTAATTTAACTGCAAAAAAATTGATTTTTCATGCCTTACTTCTAAAAAAACAATGGGGATTCTTAATTCGATATATCTGATACTAAATATAATAAATTGTGTGAATAGAGCTCTTACAAATAATAATTGCACATTAAATATTCAATTTCAAGTAAATTGATGAAAAGATTAACTTGACTCAAAGAAAAATTTTTGAACCAAAAATACTACAAGGAAAACTATCAATTTCTAGAAACAAGAGAAAAAATTCTTAAGCAAAAAAATTGTTTTTTTAATTCAATAATCTCATTTTTACTCAAGATTTTTTCTCTTGACTCAAGAAATTGATTGTTTTCCTTATTGTAAAATTTTTCTCTTGTGTCGAGTTATCCATTTTACCAGGGTATCAGTTATTATTTACTGCACTTAGCGTTTGCTATCAGTAGTGTCACGATACTTTATAATATAAATTGTTTTTAGGTGCTGACGTTCATATTTTAAGTGATGGTACCGACTTCCATGGACTATATTTTTCTACCAACGACATGAAAAATTCAATGAAAGCTTGGCCAGAAGTAGTATTTATGGACGGAACTTATAATCTTCTTGATTCCAAATTAACGACGATGATACTGATGGTAGAAGACTCAAATGGTATAAGTGAAATTGTTGCGATTGGGTTACTTGCTAATGAAAAGTACGAAACAATAAAGTGGTACTTAGAAACTTTTCTACAAAACAATCAGGAAGCTTGTACACGCATGAAATGCGTGATGACTGATAAGGACCTTGTAGTAAGGAAAGCCATCAAAGAAGTTTTCCCTCATGTTTCTCTGTATCTTTGTTTATTTCATACATTGAAATCATTCTCAAAGCAAATAAAAACCAAAGAAATGCATATTACAGGCGAGGATAAAGATAAGTGCTTAAGTATTTTACAAAGTTTAGCTTACAGCTCGTCTCCTGAAGAGTACGATAAAATTTACGCAAAATTTTGTGAACAAGCACCCACCTCTGTTATCGATTATTTTAATAAAAACTGGCACAACATTCGTGACGAATGGACCTCTTATAGCATGGTAAATGGAAATCTCGATAATAAAACTAATAATCGGTTAGAAAATTTAAATGGTAAATTAAAACAAGTTCTCGGAAGAGAAAATACTCTAATTGAATTTATTAATTCGTTTTTTATTTGGGATAGAAGCCACAATATTGCATCCGCAACTAAAGCTATGAAAAATTTTTACACAAAACCCTCTGTTAATAACTACAGCCCTTGTGAGCAATTGTATTCTGAAATTCTTACAAACAAAGCTTTCGAGTATGTACAAAAGGAGCTTAAGGCTGCGGACTTTGTAACTATTTTACACAGTGATCTTCATACCCATCATTGCACAATATAATCAAAATCATTAATGATGAGTGTGTCAACTACTGCTTGTCAATGTGCTTTTTATCAGTCTTTGAGTTTACCATGCCGACATTTGTTCGCATCCCGAAAAAATTTTAGATTGAACTTATTTTTGAAAGAATTATGTCCGACAAGATGGACCAATGAATATTACAAAAAAAATTTTAAAGCGTTTCAATCTACGGAATCTAAAAAATCGGTGAAAGAATCAGAAAATATTTTTTTTATTAGTGATGAAAATTCGAACGAAACTGAGGTTAACAGTTCATCAATTAATGATATATTAGTTGATCCTGTTCAACACATTCAACTACCAACTGTCGTTAAAAATAAAGGAAGACCAAAAGGGTCAAGCCTAACAGCCATTGGTCGATTTAAAGCAAAAACACTTCTTGCATATATTGAGAAGAAAAAAATTGATAAGCTCAAAACCATGATGAAATGGCTGCTTTTACCTAATGAATTAATTGAAGTATTAATGAACAATGAATATAAAATTCAATTAAAGGATTTAACAATTACCGGCTCAACCATTGGAGATAGCTTCATGGAAGTAAATGTAAATATTGATCTATTAAAAAACTATTGCACAGAAGAAGTATGGGAAAAAATTGCACAGTGGGTAAATGATAAACGTACAAAAAATATATTTCATTGTAGTAAATGTCAAGAGGTTTGTGGTGAACAAACTGTTTTTTGTGATTGCTGCTGTTGCTGGTACGATTTTGATTGCGTCAAAATATCAAAAACACCGAGAACGAAGCATTGGTTCTACCCTGACTGCCGAAAAAGTCAGGTTTAATTTATGTTTATTCAAGAAGCATCAAGCAGATTTTATTGTTCTTATTATTTATTGTAAGTATTTGCATTTAAATTAATCTATAATTGATTACTTTCAATTTCAGAATAATAATCTACTGTATTAATATTTTCGTTTATCTGTGTCAATGTAATTGTTGAGAAGACAATGAAGCATTGAACTTACGTGGGTATTGACGAAACAGCAGCGAAACAATTAAAAAAAAAACAATGAAATGTCATAAGTAAATTTCAGTTTGTCATTTAGATAACTAGGTGTTTTTTTTTTTTAGTTTCGATAATTTACGCCTGAAATTAAAGTAATGCGAGTAAGTGATAGACAGGTAGTAAATATATAATAATGTTAAAAAAAATATTTTTTTAAAATATCCTTGCAAAGTTTGAGATTTTAATTGGTTATAAGCATTTAAAAATTTATTTTAAATATATTTGTAATTGTAATTGTAATAATAGTAATTGTGATTTAGTATTTTGTAGACTTAATCTCAAGGCGACTCGGTTACAATGACACCAAAGTTGTGTTTTTTAAATACTGACCTTCCTTTTTTTTTTTAAATCATCGGTTAAATATAATTGTACTTATCGCGTGTGTTGTGAATTTAATCACATTATACTTCAATACGTGATTGAATAATTTTTTACTGATATTGTAATGTAATGTTTATGATAGTATAAATTTTAGTATTTCTTTGTATTTACTTATTTACTGATATAAAACTTATTTTTAGTGAATAAAATCAGCTGGCATGAAGATGAGGATTCCAAATTGCGACTTTGGTAGTCGATATTATGGACATGAAAGTGGTGTCATTTCCTATTTGGATAATCTACATAACTTTAACATGTAATATTAATTACATGTACTCTAAAAAAAAAAAAAATTTATGAGTAACGATTATTCACGTCTAACATCGTTATGAACGTTGATAATTAGTTATATATTTTGTATTTTTACCTGTTTTAGAACTAAAAGTTTTTTTAAGTTCATTGAAAATACTATTAAGAATATATAAGCAGTTTAAAAAATTGTACATATCTTAAAAATTGTACATATCTTAAAAATTTAATGAGTGAGAATTATTCATGTCTTACATTGTTATGAACATTGATAATTAGTTATATTTTATATTTTTATTTGTTTTAAAACTAAAAGTTTGTTTAAGTTCATTGAAAATACTATTAAGAATATATAAGCACTTTAAAAAATTGTACATATCTTAAAAATTTAATGAGTGAGAATTATTCATGTCTTACATTGTTATGAACATTGATAATTAGTTATATTTTATATTTTTACCTATTTTGAAACTAAAAGTTTGTTTAAGTTTATTGAAAATACACTTAAAAATATATAAGCACTTTAAAAATTTTGAACATATCTTAAAAATTGTTTATATAAAAAAAATGGTTATATTTTCCGTGTAAGACATAATTATTATTAAAATAATAACATTAATGATATTGGCTAAGAAAGATTTTCTGAATAAAGCACCTCTGTATATAATTGGCTGTTCCAAGTAGAACGAGTCAATCAAATCTGGGCCTGTGGATATACGTGTGGAGTTTGAATCGTCAGCACAGTTTCCAAATCAAACTGCTGATTACTGCTTAATAATTCATGACCGAATTGTTGAGTACAATCCCATCAGCAGCACTGTAAGAAAACTTAATTAATGGTACAGTTTCCAAATATATGAATTTTATTCAACAATCAACAAATAAAGTATTACAATTTGTAAAAGATTTTACTCAAAAACCACTGACTTCTACAATATATCAAAACAGAATAATACTTCTTAAAGACCTCTTCAAAAATAAAATAGAAAATAATCTAGGATTAAACCAAATTAATTTGTATGACAGTGTGACTCATATATACTCCAAATGTTTTGCCAGTGTACCAAGTGGATATGTAACATACATCTGTCCAAATTGTCATGTGTATGAAAAACCTAAGATAATTTTACTAATTGATCATGAAGTTATTAGACGAAACGGCTATGGTGCATTAGAAGAAGCATTACATAATGATTGGCAAAAAAAATTATGCTATAACAATTCAGAATCCTGCTCTTCTTACTGTAATGCAAAATTAAATATTTATAATAATCAAATTTTTATTGACCTAGATGTTCGAGCCGATGTTAATTCAGCTAATCCTATTCCTGGAAAATTGAGTGATTTTCCAATAAATATTAATTTGGGTAGTAATCAGTATCGACTATCAGGAGTTATCGCTTCGGAGCCAGGTCATTTTATACCATACTGTCGACGTATCAATAACCGCTGGGATAAGTGTAATGATCTGAATACCAAAGTGATTTCTGTACGCTCTCATACTGTGGTACTACCGCTAAGTATTATATATACCAAAGTTTTTTCAAAACATGAAGATTATCATGAGAAATTAAACAATAGACAAGTAATTTCACAGAACAAGGTCTCAAAGTTACCCGAAACGAATTCTCTGGATGATTCTGATATTACATCAAGAGACAATTGGCGTAATAAAGAAGTAGATGATCAAGTTTATATTGACGCTTCATTTGACTTCATTGAAGATAGCTGCTTCACTGAAAATGAAACTTCGGGTAACATTGAAAGTGATATCTCTTTGAATTGTCAGTTCATTGAATTACTTAAACCTGGTAATGCTACTCCTGAAATTACTGTAAATGAAACTATCATTCAATTGAATGATACGCATAATTTTGATTGCATCGTACATATTATAGCTTGTGCTGCATTAGACAATTCTTCGTACTTGGATTTTGTTCGTAACTCGAGCAATCAAACGTTGCAATTTGTAAATGATTTTATTAGTTCGAAATTGTGTCAAGAAATTTACATCAAAAGAGCTTTGTTATTAAAATCACTATATTCTTCAAAAATTTGCACAAAAACATGCAATAATGTTCTTACTTACGTAATAGATTTATGCGAAAGTATTTCATGTACATGGACAACTTGTTTAAAGAATCAGGCTAGCATTTTCAATGCATATACATGCGATTTTTGTGGATATTCATCTTATTTCTCACCGTTATTGAAAGTCGATGCTAAAATAATTACTAAAAATGGCATTAAAGCACTTAGTGAGGCGATTGTTTATTATAAATATTTGACAAAAGTAAAATGTCGTCATGGAAATTGCTCCAAACTTTGTAATATAACTGCTTATCCTAACAATCATTTATTTATCGATTTAAATATTGATGAATGTAATGAAAATTTTAAATGCAACCTTCAAGACTTTCCAACAGTGCTGCATTTAGAAAAAGAAGTTAATAAATATCGGTAAACTAAATTATAATTTATTAATTTTACATTAAATTCTTTTTTATAGATTTTAATGATTTTATTTCAGATATTAGATTTTGATATTGTATTATATTTAGATACGTAGATATTCATATATATTTATAGATATAAGTATAGATATTTAGATATGATATTATATATTTTATTGTTTCAGACTAACAGGAGTTATAGCACGAGATATAGATCATGAGGTCGCATATTGTTTTCGAGCAGATAAAACTTGGGAGTTTTATGATGGCTGCTCAAGTAGAATGAAAATTTCGGGCTCTAAAGTAATTAAACCTTCTGGAGTAATATTTATTCAAGAGTTATAAAACAAAGTAACGTGCAAAGAATAATTCTAATTTAATTGGATCAGATTTTATATTTGTTGTTTTTACTAAATATATGTTTTTGTTTTAAGTGGAATAAAATAAAATTAAGTAATAAATGATTTTTAAAAAACTTACAGAAAGGGTCGAATTTTTCACATATTTTTTTTAATTGAAAAGAAATAATTTTTTTTATTTTAGAAAATTTGACAATTTTTTTTCAATTAGAAAAAAATAAAAAAAGTTCGGCCCTTTTGGGGCTGCGTGGTAATAGTTCTCAAATTGATTGAAGTTATTTTGAAAAATGAAAAAAAAAAAAAAAATAGGAATACGTTGACCCTGAAGGCCATCCCTGCAACTTCCCGCCAATTCTATACCTAAACGCTTGAAATTGCACTTGTGACGTTTCAGAGCTTTCCGAGCTCAAAAAAATAGCTTTTGTATGTTTTGAGCTCTTCGAGCTCAAAAGTTTGATAACACACTATTATTTTAATTTTCAAATCGCAATAATTTTTGAATGAATGAACCGATTTTCACACGGTTAGCGGTATTCTACGCAGTTTTTTAGGACTCATAAAAAATTCTTAAGTTTTAACTATATTGGTTCAACTATAAATTTCGGAGTAATTCCGAAAAAACACTTTTTTCGGTTTTTTTTCGTTCACGATATCTCTTGAACGAAACAAATGATTTTGAACGGATTGGCGGCAATCGACGTGGTTTTTTAAGGTTGAGAGCTGATTAGTTTTTGAAATTGATCGGTAGAGCCGTTTAAAAGTTATTCCAAAAAAACCACTTCTGAAAAAAATTTTT